CCGGACGGGGTATTGAGGTTCATGGTTTTGGCGCCCATACTAGACGGGGTATGGGGACGACCCCTGGAATCAGGTTGCAAATGTTAATGGTTCACGTGTAGAGGGGACCCCCTATGGATCCCCAGGGATACTAGTAGGCTGGTAAAAAAGGAAATCTATTTCCTAATGATGGAAATGTAAAGGTGTGATATATGTTATGTTATAAAGTGTGTATGATTTCATGATATTATAAGGTTATTATTTTCATATGATATTTTCATGGATCTCGCCGGGGTAAGTGGACAATATAGGATTTTATTACTGATAAATGAATTTGTTATAAATTATGCTCCATTGGTCATTTTGTTTTCTACCCACCTTTACTTCCGTGGCGGTGAGATAGTGTGATGTCTTTACTGAGCTGGTGTAGCTCATCCCTTATTTAAACATTTTAGATCAGAAAGATATTGTTCCCGAGTCCGTTCCGCAGGAAGACGGCGAAGAGGACGCCTGAAGACTTTATAGTTATATTTATAGTTTTTATTTCGAGTACCTCTCTTAGTCAGTTTGTTCCTTCATGTTTTGAGTACGTTTTGGTTATTGTTTAAGGGATGTTAAACAAAATTTTTATTACGCTTCCGCATTTGACATTTTTAATACATATATTTCATTTAAATTTCCGGGGCCACTACATATATTGGTTATTAAGGACAAAATTATGTTTAGATATGACTTTGAAATATGTTATCATTATTATTGTTTGCATGTGGTTAACATGAGTGTCTACCTAAATCATCAACCTATATGAAAATTTGTTTTTATTTTATATATATTTTTCTTTCAAAATTTTTTAAAAATATTTTACCTTTAGAGATTTTTATAGATAAAGTATATCAATAAACTAAATTTATATAGATTTATGAATATTTTTTTTACTGAACTAAAGTTTTCATTACTTTATTTAACATAATCTTGTCCTTAAAAGATATCTTCATATTTAACGGTTAGAGATAAGTTTTTTTTAATAATTTTATACGTTCATCAATTAGGTAATGTACATACATCAATAATTATATAATATAAATAATCTTCAAATAATAACATCTACTGAAATACAGTCCGACTCTAATTAACGATGTCGTATGAAGAAATAAATGTACTAATTATTTAATTAAGTAATAGTTGATGGTTAAAGTTAAATCTTGACTACACTGATATATTGTGTTAATAAATTTAATAAATTCATGAGCTAACTAAACTTGGTTGTTCTTTACTGAGTAAGGGTGGCAATGAGTTAACTCAAAGCAAATATATCAGTAATTCTCTTTGTATTAGGAATATAATCTATGAAACTCATAAAGATGAAATGAACTTCTTTATGTTATGTTATATTCATTTGTTAAAGTGTAACGGTCTCAGAAATTCAAAAGGAAATATATATAATAATCTAAGTGCGGAAGCGAAATAAAAGATTAAGGTTAACATCCCTTATACAATAACTTAAAAATACTAAACAACATCACAGAAAAAGTTCTCTGAAAGAAATACAAGAAATGAGAAAAATAAAGAAAACTATAAAGCATCTAGCATCTATTCGTAGTCTTCTTGTGGATCGGGCTCGGGAACCAGGTCCTCCTGATCTGAAATAGTTAAATAAGGAATGAGCTATACTAGCCCAGTAAGGACATCACACTATATCACCACCACGAAGCAAATGCTGGTAAAAAATCAAAACAACCAATGGAGCAGTAGATTTAAACCAATACATTTATTTAAAATAAAATCATTTACCCTTTTTCTTACCATTGAAGAACCTGTAAAAACAACCTATAAAGACAATAACATCATACAGATCACAATTTCATGCATAATCAGTAACATAAAATATATCATAAATCCGTATTCATTAATAATAACTGATTATCACTGTTTCTCGTTTTCACCAGCCTACTAATATCCATGGGAATCCATAGGGGTGTCCCCGCTACACGTGAACCATTCTCCTTAACAATCTTAATTCCATGACCATCCCCATACCCCGTCCGGTATGAGTGTCAAGATATTAAACCTCAATACCCCGTCTGGTATGAGGATGAAGCGGGTCGTCCCTATACCCCACCCGGTATGAGCGTCAAATGACTAAGTCTTCATACCCGTCCAGTATGAGACAACGTTCACGGTAAGGTTCTCTAAGAACCCGGTCTGTCTACCATCTCCTAGGATATCTACTTAGACTGTCACCTTATCTGTTTTCCCTTAGTCTTCGTTACCAAGTTAAACATAATCACATAAACAATGAACATGCACCCAGTAATACAATAATATCTTAAATTTTAAAATCACACAGTGGTCAAGTAAGACAGTAAGACATACATTTAAAATCATAGAATAGATAAACCAGATACTATAATGCATTTAAACTGTAAAATAAATCAAACAGGAACTGACAGAGAATAATGTCCGGTTCGGGCTCCATTAGCAACCTTAATTAATTATGCATATCTATTTAATTTGTACAAAATACAGTGTTATCATTTATTCAAACTTCAATTCCATGATAGGAAATAGGGTGAAGGGTCTTTACTTAATTTGACATCGAAAACTAGATGTTTACTGTGCCTACGTGCGGTCCCTAGGTTCTCTGAATTTTTTTTCGGGAACTGAAACACGCTTACAGTACCTACAAATATCCTAAATAACCCAAAAATCAGACCTAGGGCCCACTAGCGACGGTGCCGCCGCCCGCGGCTGCGATCCACCTCGGGTTGACTGTTTTTTAGCCATTTTCGATTGAATTCAGCCGAATTTGTACCAGTTCCTGCGAGAAAACACACTTAGGGCCCTCGGTGGGCCGAAAAAATGCAAAAAACCGAAACTCACTGGCGGTGGGGCTCTCTGGTGCGGTGGCTCCTCCCACTGACGTTGCAGTTGGGTGTTTTGCTTCGGTCAACCTGTAAAAGAGGAAACAGTAATTACAACGGTGGAAAAATCACTTCGAACGGAAATCGGGAAGGGCCTCATTGGAGACGAAAGTCGAAACACCCCGCGGCGGCGATGCCGAGCTTCGGCGGCATTTTTCGGCCAATTAGGCGTTTCTTTCGCTCTGATTTGACCATTGATGGGTTTAAAATTGAATTTTGTCCAAGAGGAGAAATTTTTACATCGTTTGGCAATCGAAAATTGCTCCGGTAGGCTGCAGTTTGGGTGCGGATGGGGTTATTTATACTCATCCATTTTTTATTTGGACCGTCCATCACTTTTAATCTGGACTGTCCGATCGCGATTAAATAGGGAGTGAATCTGGACCGTTCATCGCGATTCAATTTGGGCCGTCCGATGCGCGATGCAATCTGGGCCATTCGTGCGCGTTTTTTATCTGGGCCGTCTGCGCGGGAACGGATCTCAGCTGTTCGATCGCGTTCACGCGGATCACCCACGTGACTCCCCCCGCGTGGCCTCCCACGTCAGCACCTCTGCCACCTGGCGTGCCCTGGTTGGTCGAGGCTGCTGACTGAGCATCTGACGTAGCGCGTTTTTTTCAAATTGCACTTTGGCCCTTATTTTTTGATTTATTATTCAAAAATACCCCCCAGAACCCAAATTTTTATCCCTTTTTCACTAAATTGTTTTCAATCTCACCCTCCCCCCCCCCTATTTTTCTCCATTTTTACACAAAATAAAAAAAAAAATTACTTTTATTAATTTTAAATTTTTATGTATTTTGGGGTGTTACATAAAGCATTATTATTAGTTAACAAAGTGCAATGTTTTCTTAAACATGAGTATTTTTTATTTAATTTAACGATTATATTTAATATTTATACTTACAATACAAAAGTTTATGAGACATATATGAAAAAATTAAGTGTGATAGATCATAATTTGGTGATTTTAATTTCTAATAAATTTTATTTTCAAATGCTCTCTCCATACAAGATTACAAACAATCAACATTTGTGATTCAATTTAAATTAGTAATCTCTATGTCAAGATATGATCACTTTCATTAAACAATATTATAACAAACAAATTTCACGTCAAAATTTTAACATTTACGAATATCAAGTAAGTTTGAAAGTGCTCATTATAGAAAAAATTCAACAAATTGTCCTACATGGATCTTTATCATGGAAGATTATTAACTTGTACAATAAAGAGATCTATCATGTGTTTGATATTGAGATAGTTAAATAAGATGTCGAACAAGCTCTTTATATCTACTAATTGACACTTGAGAGATGTAATAAATCAATTCATTTTGCTCCACTACACAACAAGTCTATCATACTCTTCATATTAAGACTATTTTATCACCCTACGATCATCTCTTTAATATGATCTCTAATGTGATGAATTCCTTAATCCCTTGTTTACAAATGCTTTCATTGCCAAGTGCAAAAACTTCTTTTTATCTTATGTTTGCTTATTGTCCTACCATGAATAGATTTCAATAGTTTATTTTCATAAAAAGATTCATATTAGCATCTCTCTATCATTGAATAATAATAATAACAAAAAAAACTCTAAATAATTAAAAAACATAGAGAATTAATAACAAAAAATACTTTCCAAACACAAAATAAAAGAATAGAAATATTCACATCAACATAAACAACATCGAAGAATGAGCAGTAAATTAAAAAATTGGGTCTAATAAAAATACTATAAAAAAATTTCAATAATGTATTTTCATAAAAAAACTCATATTAATATTTATCTGAAACTAAATATACAATAGTTTGATGACACAATTATTATATAAAAATAATATGTGAAAATTTTTATTTATTTTAATAAGTTACAAAAATTAATAAATCTATATGATATATATTTTAATTATTATATCACAATAAAAGTAATTTTTATAAAAAAATAAATATAATAATCAGACTTAAATATATATTTTCAATAAATAAATAAATATACCAACCATTTAATCAATTAAAAATTGAAAGTTGAAGTAAGATTTTTGTAACCAAGCTCCGTTAAAAATAAGACCGAAACTATATGACCACTCCAGCAATTGCAGCAATTAATAAATTGATAAAACTACTCCTGTTCTCTGAGCCACCAGAGCGAAGAGCGTCCATCAATCTGCTCAGTTTCAGAGAAGAAAGGAAGGAAATGGATTTCGAAGCTGTGAAGAAGCTTTTGGAGAAGGAACGAGGTGAGGACGACAAGAACGCAACCATCATACCAAATATGCCTTCGAGATTTTTCGAGCGATTTATAATGCAGGGCCTTCGCATCGATCTCATCGAACCTGGCCGCATTATTTGTTCCATGAAAGTACCCTCTCGCTTGCTGGTACTCTCGCTCTCTCTCTCTTCTTATCTTCCTTATCGTACACAAACACACTAACATCATAATAGTTTCATGTTTGTCATTTATTCCAATTGGTTGTCATCTTAACACCAGTAGATAGCAAATTAAATAGGAGTTCTTATAATCGGCTTTCGCTTTGGTTCTCGGAGAATTCGAGAAAGGTCTGAGAGATATCTGTACCAAATTAAGGATCTATTTATTATTCATATAAATAAAATAATTCATACATGCTCTTGTCTTACTCTTCGGAAAATGGCCGAAGCAATTCCCGGAACCTTTCCATTCTTATGTTTTTCTTCTTGAACTCCGCTTTATTGTTCACTGAAGGGTTTTTACTTGATGTGTCGTTAAGAATTCTGCTGACACTCTTCACGGTGGGGCTACGGCGACTCTTGTGGACTTAGTGGGTTCGGCTGTGATTTTCACTCATGGAGCCTCCGTTACCGGAGTTTCAGTAGAGATTAATGTTTCATTCTTGGATGCGGTTTACGTTGATGTGAGTATTTCTGTTCCTCTATTCTGCGTTTAGAGACAGTGTTTTGTTGTTACTTCTCTATGTTTTTAATTATTATGAGTTTTCCGATTCAAGGATAGATAGATGCTGCAATGAGTCCGTTTATGAAAATACACCATTGAAACCTATTCATAGTATTTTCATTCGACCCAATCTCTTAATTTACTGCTTTATCTATAAAAAAAAATCTCTTAATTTGCTGCTCAACTACTCGTTATGGACTTGAATTGGAAAAATTGGAAAAGTAAAATGTCGGTGAAGCGAAAAATTGTTTAATAGTTTCAGTTTCTAGTCCTGTTATCCTGGAATGTGGTTAGGATTTTAGCAGTGTCCTGGCTGAAATCCAGGTATGCTTGTCCAAAGATTGAAAGTGATATTATTTCTATTAGCTGTCTAAGGGTTATGTTAATTGCAACGTTTACCCGACACTGGTATCTTAACTATGATAGGTTATTTATCACATTGGTATGTAACTCTATTTCAAAACTTACTCCATTCAGTTCTAGATATTTTCACTTAAAATCTGTTGTTTATTGGTGTTAAACTTTCCCAGATGCTCCATGTTAATTAAAGTTTGACATTCATCATCGAATGTACTTTACAGATAAGTCACATATTTTATTTGGTTTTGGTACTTTGTTCATGGTTCTACAAATTCATGGCTGAAACTTGTTTCTATATGTTTCAAAGCAAGTTAGGTTCTTTGAATTATGTGTCTATAGCCTCTTGGCCCTGTGCCTTTTTTAAAAAAAAAAAATAAAAGTGTGAGAATCTCTTGGCCCTGTGCCATGTCCTGCTTTCCCCTTTGCAGTCCAGCTCTTGACTCTTACAGGCAACATTCTGTAATTATTCAGGCAAAAGAATTGAGATTCCTAGAATTTATTTATCCAGTTAAATTGGGATTATATGAAGAGCATCGGTATTTTTTAGATTAATTAATGGAAACCAACTGCTCTCATTAGTTTATTCTGATTTGCAGGTTGTCAACTCTTACCAAAAAATATTCGTTTTATTTTTTGTTATCTGTATTTAACTTGGACTTACGGGAAAGAGAATTTGCATTTCTACATAACATTTTTCTTTTAAAAATTCTCTTTTCATTTAATATTTCAGTTGGTTTGTCCTGCAGTGAAATAACTCCTTGAGCAAAGTCAGTTCTGTGTAGAAGAACATAATAATTATGTCCATGTCAGAGCATCACCTGTGTATCTGCATGGTCATATCACTTTTTTCTTTTTTACTTTATTTCCATGACATTTTTAAGTGAGCATGTCAACTAGCTGAATCTATAGATGTCAAGTAAGCTTGAGAAAGACTTCTTTTTGGAATTGAGGGGCTTTCTAGCTGGTCTAAAAGTGAACTCTTAGGTTAGTGACATAATCTCTAGAAACGAAGCTTTCTTATTCTGTATTGCTTTCCAAATTTGGTATACCTACTATACATTGATTATGGGTGAAGATATAGGATTAGCATCTCAAGCCAATGTTGAGATGGATGTGCTACAAAATAAAGCAACAGAAGACCATATGAGGAGAGTTTCAAGATTAAGTAGTACAAAAGAGAACGTTGGTATTTCTGAGGTTATGATACTGAGTTTTATCTTCAATAAGTGAAGTATTTTTTTTTTAAAAAGTGCATTGGATAATTAAGGCGTTAGACATTGGAAAGTATCCGAATTTTTATTTGTTGGGAATTATTTGTTGATCTCTCTCTCTTCTTTCTCTTGAATTGGGGTGTTCATCTCATGTTCTAGTTCCTTATACTTTTAAAGACCAAACACTGACATTTCTAATGTGTAAGATTTATGGAAAGGAAATCTGAATATTTACGCATTTCATTACATAAAGTTATGGATATATATACATAGAAGAGGGATCTATATATGAAAATATAAATCATCTTATTAATGCTAAGAAATCAACTAATAATTACATAAAAATATTTCATAATATATTTTGTAATATTCTAACACTCCCTCTCAAGTTGAAGTATAAATATTGATCATGTTCAGGTTGTTACGAAGATATTCAATTCGAGTTCCATTCAAAACCTTTGTGAATATATCATATAATTATTTCCCTGATTTCACATAACTGGTAGAAATCAAGTTCTTCTGAATTTTCTCACGAATGAAGTGACAATCAATCTCAATGTGTTTAGTTTTTTTATGGTACATCGAATTTGAGGCAATATGAAGAGCAACTTGATTATTACACCAGAGTTTGCAGGTAATTTAGGATTCAAACCCACTTCCACTAAGAAGTGTTGTCTCCATAAGATTTCACATGTGGACTAGGTTACAGCTCTGTATAAGGACTCTGCACTGGATTGGAACACAACGGTTTGCTTGTTACTCCTTCATGATACTAAATTCTCATCAACGAAAACACAATAACTTGTAGTGGATCTTCTATCAATTTTAGATCTAACTCAATCAGCATCTGCAAAACATTTAATGTGAGTGTGTTCATGATTGCTAAACAATATATTGAGTCCTTAAGCACTTTTTAGATAGCACAAAATCTGTTCCAAAACCTTCCACTGTTTGACTGTAGATACAGATATAGATTAGTTAACAATATTGATAGGATATGCTATATCTGAACGAGTTACTGTGAGATAATTCAGTTTATCAATTAATCGTCTGTATCTTTCCGGATCATCAAGGGGTTTACCATTATCTTTAGTAAGGTGTACATTTGGTACCATTGGAGTATTATACTGTTTAACTTTTAACTTTCCAATTTTTACAAGTAGATCAAGTATATACTTCATCTGAGATTAGAAAATCTCTTTATTGTTTCTTATTACTTCTACTCTAAAAAAATATCTTAATTGAACTAAGTTTTTCGTGTGAAACTTGGTATGTAAAAATGATTTGAAAGAGAATATTCCTGCACAGTCGTCACCTGTAATAATAATAGTATCAATATAAACAATAAGGAGTATAAGACCAGCTGCTGACTACTTATAAAAGACTGAGTGATCACATGTACTCTTCTTTAGTTCGAATTCCATAACTACTTCACTAAATTTGTCAAACCATGCACGGGAACTCTGCTTCAGGCCGTACAAAGATTTTTTTCAAATGACAGACTTTCCCATACTCCCTTTGAACAACAAATTCAGGTGGTTACTTTATATATACTTCTTCTAGAAGGTCGCCATGAATGAATGCATTCTTGATATCTAACTTGTGTAAGGGCCAATTTTAAGATGTTGTAATAGAGATGAATAAACGGATATATGTAAATTGTCATTAAAGAGAAGGTATCAGAATAATCAAACCTCATAAGGCTAAGCATAGTCTTTTGTTACAAGTCTGGGTTTAAATCTTATTATTGAGCCATTGGGTTTACTTTGACTGAAATGACCCATTTGCACTCCACGACCCTTTTTCTTTTGGGTAAATCCACCAAATACCAAGTATAATTTTCATCGAAAGCATTTATCTCCCAACCATTGCATTATGCTAACCAGAATGATTCAAAACTTCCTTAACTGTCATAATTACAGAAATTAAATTTATAAAAACAATGAAAGAAGTAGACGAGGGAGACAGATGATTATACAAAATATAGTTAGCAATGGAATAAATTGGCTGAGGAATGCAGCACTGACATTTACCTTTACGAAAACCAATGGAGAGATCAAGATCCTGTGAAACAGAACCAGATGACGATAGACTTGGTGCAGGACATGTATCATGAGTTTGTTGTCTTCTGGAATAAACATGAACAATCAGTGGTGATATTTGGGTCAGAGGCACACTAACACTTTCATCAACTTGTTCAAGTAAAGTTGGAGGCACATCATCTAGAGAAATATCATTATCTGTTTGCTCAGTAGAGGCACCTGAAGTGAAACTATAAATGAGTCACTCATCGTCTGCCTCTTGACTGGTAGACTTGGACAATGAAAAGAAGAACGATGTATTCTCTGAAAAAATCACATTAATTGATACCAAATATTTATTGAGATATGAGGAGTAGTACTGGTATCCTTTTTGAAAGCAAGAATATCATTAAAATACACATTTTAGGGTATTTGGATCCAATTTTGTTACACTATGTCGCATATCTCGCACATAAAATGTGCTAATAAATATCTTAGATTGCACTTGAAATAAAGACTTATTTGGAAAAAGAAAACTGTAAGGAGCATCTACATCAAGTATTGTAGATGACATACGATTAATCAAGAAACATGTTATGGAAACAAGAATTGTTGAGGGACTTACATTTGAAACAAGAGGGCTCGAGCTGTCTCAAATAAATGCTTGTTCTTTCTTTCAACGACTCCATTTTGAGATAATGTATCAACACACGAGTATTGGTGAATGATTTGGTGTTAAGTCATATAGTTCTAAAATGAATTTGATATATATTACTTGACATTATCACTTCTCAATACATGCACAGAATTGAATTGTGTCTTGATTTCAGTACAAAAGTACAAAAGTGAGAGAATAATTCAGAACGATTCTTCATAAAATATATTCAAATCATTCGAGAAAAATCATCCACAAAGGCGATAATATTTAAAACTTGTTTTGCACGAAACAGGATAGGGGCCCTAAACATCAGAATCAACCAACTCAAAAGCAGAATCAACTCGTCTATTGACTCTTGTACCTGACGAAATACGATAATATTTTGCAAACCGATATAAATTGCAATCCAACAAAAATATATCATAGAACTGAGGACATAACTTTTTCAATACAGGTAGAGAGAAATGTCTTAATTTACAATGTGCTTTAAATGGAGATGTAACGCTAGAGCAGACAACCGATTGAGGTACTCAGGTATCAAGAATGTAGAGACTATATAACATATTTCCTTTACCAATAATCTGTTTCGTCGTAAAATTTTGAAGAACACAGTGATCAGAAAAGAATGTAATACAACAATTCAATTTTTTTTTTTTTTTGAAATAAACAATTCAAATTTTTAGTCAACTTACTCACAGAAATCAAATTGAAGACAAGTTTAGGCAGACTTAATACAGATGGCAGGGTAATAGATAAAATTGCTTTTGTAGTCTTGGACCCCACAATGTTATAGTTGATCCATCAACAATAGTTATAGGAAAATGTATTTTGTGTAGTCGAAAACTAGGAAAAAATATTAGAATTACCTGTCATGTGATCTGTAATATTAGAATTAATCACTCATCTGTTCAAAGTTGATATTAGACAATTTTTCTATAGTTCAGTAAGAGTAGAAAATTTATTCAAAAATTTCTGATATTGAGTGAATTTAGCATACTCGTCAGTTAAAATTATAACAATTCTCTCAGAAGATGAGCTAGCAATAGCATCAACAATACTAGCGGTCTATATTCTGCGATTCTGCAGTTTCTTACAGTACTATTTTATATGCTCTTATTCACAGTAGTAATAGTAGACAATATCTATTTCAATTTAGAAATTATAAGAAATATATCACTCAGAATACTCAAAACACAATAATTAGAGATATTCAAAAAACACTGCAAATAGGCTAGAAACTCTAAGAAAACAAAATACTTTTTCATACACGGAAATAAAGAAAACCACATTGTTGCCACTGAAGTTCATGCGCCGCTACTGGAAAACCACGTGTCGCTGCCGGAAATCATCAAGATTCCTCCTTTCGGCTGAAAATCACCACATAACCCTTATGCACACTCTAATCTGGAATGACGCTTGCAGAAACGTCCTAAATCGCGCCAGAAAGCTGAGAATCGCTTGTTGTCGTGCGATTTCTTCCGCCACAATTTTTTCTTTTTCGGCCATCTGGTTTTGTGCACAAAACCGGCCAACTGAGTCCTCTGTGCCTTCTTTCCTTGAACGGGAACCCAACACGCACAGGGATGCTCTCCTCCGGAAATCCCGCCGCACGCAGCCTCAAACCGCCGTGCGAACTGCTACCTAGGCTTCTCCTGCGTACACCATCGTGCTGGCCACACGCTGAACTGGCCGAAGAACGGTGGCTGTCTTCCTTCGGCACCGGGAATGGTTTGTTCAATCCTTCTTTTAGTTTGATGTAAATTGACCCCTAAAATCTTAACCCTAACTTCAACTTTAATACCATATAAGATTTAAGGAAAGGAATGCTGAATATTTACACATTTCATTTCATAGAGTTAGGAGTATATATACATAGAAGAGAGATCTATATATAGAAATATAAATTACCTTACTAATGTTAGGAAATCAACTAATTTTGTGATATTCTAACATGATGCCAAGCTAGAAGAGTCATTAATTTTTTTTTCTTTTGTTGATTGTTTTTTTAGTTGTATGTGCTTTATAGATTAGCAAAGGGAATTATTGCTCTCCTGGTTTTAGGTGGCATCTCTTTAGTAGATATCGAGCATCTAGGCCTGAGAACATGTCCGTTCTTCTCTTTTTGTTTATTTTCTTTTTTAACTTTGGGGAATGTACCCAGTATATGATTTGCAGCACAGCAGTTGTCAATTCATGGAATACTATTGTTGGTGTTTTCTCACTTTCAGGAGGAAATTGAGATTGAGGCAAAGACTTTACGTATCGGGAAGGCTGTTGGTGTTGTCAGTGTGGAGATCAGGAAAAAGAAAACTGGGAAAATTGTCGCTCAGGGGCGCCATACCAAGTACCTTGCTGTCACTAGTAAGATATAGACTTTTCTTTTGGGCAACCTCTTACGGAGCCTGTGATTGGG